CCCCCCCCCCCCCGCAGCTTGGCACAAGCCGTCTCTCCCCTCAGCCCCCTGAACCGTTGGATTCAGTGACCAGAAATCACTTCAATAAACCCCTTCTCAGCTGAGCTCAAACTCCAGCCACTCCGCTTTCTTTCTCTTGGCTTCACTTCCTCCCCCATTCAGCCCAGACTCCAGGGTGCATTACATCAACCCCTTCCCTGCCAGCACCCTGGACTCCTCACCCTCTGTGCTTCTGCCACATCCACCTGGTAGTTCCCCAACTTTGGCTCCTTCCAGCCATCCCGACCATCTGTCTTCTCCACTCCTACACCCAGGCTGCCAAGATGGCTGCAGGAAAACCTGTCCTTGAGCAAACTGGGGCCGCCTCTCACGTGTCTCCTCCAGCCTCAGAAATGTATCCTCTGCTCCTGAAATGGAAGTTCTCTCACCCTTCCTTCTCCGTGGCCATTTTACACCTCCTCCCTTTGCTCAAGTCCCCTGCTTCCCTCCCAGCAAACAACCTTGTTAGGACAAAGTGGTTAAGAAGCTAGGCTCTGGTGGGGTGGGGTAGGGAGAAAACTACAAATTCTGAACTCTTTTTAGTAGGTTTGTTTATGTACTTGTATTGGCAAAATGATTCTGAAACTATTTTAGGTGTATTACATGATCAGGCAAGTGAGTAAATGTATTGATGTTGTTAAGAGCCAGGATTCTCACTCTGGAAAAAGAAACATACAAATATTTAATGGAGGGAAACAAGAAAAAACCCTTGGAAGTGGATTGGAATTGGAGATATCAGTGTGCACTCATGATTTCTAAAATATGTATAGGTATGTATATTCACATGTATATATATTCAGCTCTGTCTGCTAAGAGGGCCTAAAATCCAACACATCCCGTTACCAATAAGCATATTTTGCACTGAGATCTTGTACTCTCATACCATTCCCCTCTGAAAGGAATCAGGGTTCATTAGAGAAATGGCTGCTTCCAGGGCTGGTACATTGCAAATATGCGATGAGCAGCCTGGAACATTTTATTATGCCAAAAAGTAAGAAAGTACTTAAAAAAAAAACATTAGTAGTAGGCATTTCATAGGACAAAGGAGCCAGCTTGAAGGAGCTGCCACCAGCCAAAGCTGGGATATTAGGTACCAGAATGATTAAGGACATTCATAAATTATAACCCATTGAAAAAATTAGGAATCAGTGAGTTCATATTAATGAGAAAGGGAGAGAGAGAAGAGAAAGAAAGTAGAATGAATGCTGAGAGTCAAATGGTGAATGCAGAGGGAGTGCTGGAGTTGGGATCAACATTTTGCAACCACCATAGTAAAAGGATCAGGCAAGAATCACCAATGGAGGCTAAATTTAGAAGGAAATATGAGGAGCAGGATATTTGCATGGGTTCAAAGTGCCTCCACTCAGATTGCTTATTAGTTGTAAAGGAAAAAGTAGTTAACTATGTGATGAAGA